TGGCCTTCGAGTAAAAAGCACATTCGTGGCAGATACACAGATGTCCATGAATTTCGACTCACTAATCAATATGGACTCTGTTTATTATTTATTTCTCCCCTCTTTACAGTGCTGGAGATCACACTCGGGTCTATGTGAGGCCCGAGCCACATCCCAGCTCCTGTTGTCCCCTTACTGAGATCTATGAATCCTCTCTCAAGCTCTGTGTGCTTGTCATTGGAGCTATGGATGGTGTAATGGCTTAAATATGAGATGTCCTCACAGGCTGATGTGTGGGGTGCACCGTCCCCAGCGGTGTTACTTTGGGAAATTCTGGAAGCCTTGGGAAGTGGGGCCTAGCTGGAGGAAGTAGTTCCCTGGGGAGGCATGTCCTTGTCCTGGTCACTTCCTATAGTTCTTCTTTCGACTTCCTGACCATCATGAGGTGAAAAAGTTCCTCCTCCCCATGTCCCCGCTACCATGATGCTCTGGGGCCAAGCAACTGTGGACAACTTGGAGGCAAAATCAACCTTCCCTCAAGTTACTTCTCTCAGATATTTTAGTCCCAGATACATGAAAGTAATTACTACAGTTAATACATCCAATCATATAATACTTATCAAAGTGAACTCCAGGAAATGGAAACAAGAAAAAAACTAATGATACAGTTAATACACTGTTGATAACAGAAGCCAGCTTTCTCTGATAGGTTTGTGAGATGTTTTATTGTTTTATGTTTTATTTATGAATGAAGGCTTATGTCAGAACATCATTAAAAGAAGTATCTATAGGTAATAAAGACATGAAGAAATGTTCAACATCCTTAGCTGTAAAGGAGATGAAAATTAAAATGACAATGGGATTCTAGTCAGAATGGTGAACACCAACAAAAGAAAATAGTAACAAATGTCGGCAAGGATACAGGGGAAAAGGAATCCTTCTACACGGTTGTTAGGAATGTAAATTAATGTAGCCGGTATGGAAATCAGGATGGAGGCTCCAAGAAGCAGAAAGAGAACAACCATATGCCACAGCAATCCTGCTATACCACTCCAGGCCTGTATCTAAAGGAATATAAGAGACCTCCATAAAGACACCTGCACAATCGTGACTATTGCTAGGAAATCAACCTAGCTCTGTGTGTGTGTGTGTGTGTGTGTATTGAGGTATGCGTGTATCTGTCTATCTATATCTATATATATGCATATGTACATTTACACAACAGCCATAAAGAAGAATAAATTACACTATTGGTGCGGGAATGGATGGAACTAGAGATTATTATCTTGTTGAATGATATCATCCAAACTGAGAAAGAAAAATACATTTGTGCCCACATGTGGAATCTAAAAGTAATAATAGTAGTAACAACAATCATATGACATGGTTATAAAGGAGGGACCATTGGTGTGAAGTAAGCTAGCAGAAAGGGGGAAGAGGAAAGGAGAGGATGATGGAGGTGAATTTGACTGAAGTATATTATGTAGCTCACACCTATAATCCTAGCTACTTAGGAAGCTGAAATCTGAGGATCCTTGTTTAAAGTTAGCATGGGCAGAAAGTTCTGGAGACTCTTATTTCCAATTTTCTACCAAAAAGCTAGAAGTGGAGCTGTGGCTCAAGTAGTAGAATACCAGCCTTGAGTGAAAAAGCTCAGGGACTGCACCCAGGCTCTGAGTTCAAGCCCCAGTACTGGCAAAAAAAAAAAAAAAAACCTAAAACTAAAACCAAACAAGAGACAGGTGAAAACTTTCAGCCCATCAATCTTCATCGTGTCAGTATTCTTTGTGGATCGTTTTATGTAACTGAGTCCCTGTAGCACTGTCTATGTCTGGTCTTTTGCTGAAACTCATATGAGCAACTATTAAAATTTTTACTTAAAAGTCAGATTAAATTTTTGTATATTGTAGCTGTGACCATATGCACTCCAAAACAATGAAGAGAGTTAAATTTGGCTAGAGAATAATGAATTCTCATCTGTCTCTCTGGTAGCAAAGAGTCACAATCTATTGAAATGACAAGTGAGCATATGCCTATGGGCACACACATGCACATATGCACAAAAAGCTCCCAGAGAGACAATTGTCCCAGAAAAATCTCAAGACTGGTTCTGAAAAATGTGTCTGGCCGGAGACCGAATTCTCAAAAAGCAAAGCAAGGGAAAAAACAACAACAACAACAACAACAGCTCTTTTCTCTTTTGAATGTGGCCACTGCTAGGGTTTGGATCTGGAAGTTCACCAAAGGCCTATATGTTATGAGTTTTGTCCTCAGTCCTTGGCACTATGGGAAGGGGGTGGAGCCTTTAGGGGGTGGAGCCTATTGAGAGATTTTAGGTCATGGTGGGTATGTCCTCAAAGGAGGTGGTGGGACCCTGGTCTCTACAAGCTTTCTCTCTCTTGTTTCCAGACAGGAAATAAACAGGCCTAACAAAATTGAGTTTTCCCACTTGTTTATCCATTCATTTGCTCTCCATCAACAACAAATCAAACAAAAACATTACAACCATTCTGAGCCAAATGAAATATTGACATGAATATATGAGATATGCATTTCCCTTTATATGCATACTGACGTTCATTAAAACACCTAGTAACATTCAAAAAATAAAATCAGCACAGTTAAAGGAGGACGGAGCTCACCTGGTGGAGCATTCATTCACCTTCAATGCACAGGCCTTGGGTTTGCTCCCCAACACTGCAAACAAAACAAAACTCCTGAAGTAATAAGGGTTTCTCTTATGTCTGGACAAACAGCATGTCTGTTCTTCGGGGACAGAGCATTTCTCAAATTCCTGTTTCCATCCTAGATCGTTCAGGGGCAAGGAGCAGTGCTAGGCACAGAACCAAAGGCCTCATGCTTGGGTATCCCAGGCCTCTGGAAGGCCAAGTCTTCTGGAGGCCAAGAAGATGCCAAGACCATACCCTGCCCCTCATTCCCTTCCTCCAATCAGAAACAATTACAAAATTAGACCCACCCCCATGCCATGTGAGTACTAGACTACTACTTCCACTGGCATTGTTTCTCTCTCTCTGCCTCTCTTTCTCTCTCCCTCCCCTCCCTCCCTCCCCACCCCTCTCCTTTTCCCTTTGCTCTCTGGTGTACCTGTACATGATGTACTGAATCACAAAGAAGCTTGATTGAAAATTCAGATAGCCGGGTCACAGTCCACTTGTGGACAGAGAATCTCTGCCTCTCTCTCTCTCTTGTGAGCAAGGCCTAGCACCCCTCCACCCCGATCGCTCATGGGGGACCTCTGTTCCGGTGAAAGGGTTGTGCGAGTAGACACTGAGGAGAAGAGTCTGGCCCGGGTGGGGCCTCCCTTTGTTTCTGAATGTCCACTTCTAGGTCACGGAACCAGCCATTTACAAGAAGGATCCCTCCCCAGCCTTTTCCCAGCAAGGGGCTGGGATTTCTTCATTGGAGAGAATGGTTCCTGTGGGTTAAAGCAAGGCCAAACGTTAAGCGACGATCAGTTACTACCGCCGGCCTGAACTGCAGTATAAATCTACTTCCAAACCCATTAACGGACCACAGGGCTCTGAAAGGGCAGGCCACAGCAGAGGCGAGCTTCGACGTGGACTCAGATGACCAGGACTGTAAGGCGCTCACCCATCTGGAATGGTCAGCCAAAGGGACCCTTGAGAGAGTGTGTGCATGTATGTACGCGCGTGTGTGTCTGCATGACACTCACACACTGTGTGGAGGGAGACAAGAAAGTTGAGAGAAGGATCACACCAGCTCTGAGTCTCTACATAAAACGCACCCGGAAACTTGGAGCCTCCAACGCCTGTCTCACACCTCCTTGTTCTGCAGTGCACTCTGGGTCAGCTGACGGGGCCTCTCCTAGGCTCAGCTGAGAGGAGGCCTGAGCTCTTTTTTTCCTAGGGCTCTTTCCTAGACCTCTTCATACCCTGGTGGTCTCGAACACTGTCCCAGTGAGGAGTGAAAGGCCTCCGGAAACTCCTGAGTTTGCATCCTATCCCTTCTGGTACATTCTTTTTGTTTTTTTTTAATGCTTTTGGTGCTGGGCGGAAAGCCCAGGCCCTGCTCATGCTAGGCTGGTGCTCTACCACTCTGCTACCTCTCACCCCCACCTCAAGGCACGTTTTGTTGTTGGTCTTTGTTTTTTTGTTGTTGTTTTGTTTTGTTTTTGGTCGGTTGTGGGGCTTGAACTCTGGGCCTGGGCGCTGTCCCTCAGCATTTCAGCTCAAGGCAAGTGCTCTACCACTTGAGCCACAGTACCACTTCCAGTTTTCTGGTGGTTTATTGAAGATAAGAGTTTCACGGATTTTCCTGCCCCGGCTGGCTTTGAACCGCGATCCTCGGATCTCAGCCTCCAGAGAAGCTAGGATGACAGGCGTGAGCCACCGGCTCCTGGCTGTTCTTTGTTTTTTTGTCAATGGAAGTCATGGAGCCAGTCTAGACTCCAAGTGTGTGAGCAAACACTACATCCTGCCCGGAGTAGCTACAAAACACCTTTGCTGTGCTATTCAATCTCCACCAGGAAGCAACTTGCTGACCCTGAAGAGGTCACAGAAGAGGACATGGAAGAGAGAGGAGATGGCAAAGGGGGAGGTACCTGGTGAACAGCAAGTTCAAATCTCCTGGGTCCAGCCAAGTACACAGAGCCCCCTCCCCCAAATGCAGAAGAGAGGAGTCCAACCACAGGCTTCCCTGTCACTCATCAAAGTGACAGCAATAGATTCCACTTAGGACTGAGGAAACCAGAGCTTCCACCACCACCCAAGTAACCAGTCACACCAAGTAAAGAATTAAAGTGTAACAGAGATCACTCACCAGTCACAAGCAGGGAGAATGTCTTAGGCAGATGCTCAGATCTCCCCTGACTCAAAAGAGTCGTCACTTGGACCCCTTTACATACTGTGGGGTGCTTTCCACACATTCCAGTGTGTGGGAATGATTGTATTATCATATGACAAGGGTACCATTACGATCCCTCATTCATTCATTCATTCACTCATTCATTCAATTTGTTTTCACAGTCCTAAGGACAGAATACACACACACACACACACACACACACACACACACACCCTGCCAGTGTATTCACACAAGCAAGGCACAGGAGCTGAAGAGAACTGATCAAGGTCCCTTGAGTAACAGCAGAGCTGGCATCCTAACCCACACCATCTCCATTAGCTATGACACCGTCCGCTTTTATAGGTGGTGATGATACAGATGCTGCTGCTGCTGGCCTTGTTCCTTCCAAAACCAAGACATATGGAATGTGTGTGGGGAGGCGGGGAGCTCATTGGTAGAGTAAACTTGGATAGTATTCTACAGTACAGGGTTCACCCCAGCACTGACCAAAAAAAAATCTCCAAGATCTGATCATCACAGATAAAGCATTTACCAGTAATTTCGAGAAAAGGTTTTCTTCACAATCTACCCAACCTTACTGTTTCAACAGTGGTTCAAAGACTTCTTATCTTCTTAATCTTTTTTTTTTTGCAAGTCCTGGGGCTTGAACAAAGGGCCCCAGCACTGTCCCTTAGCTTCTTTTCTATGGGAGAGCTTGTTCAGATCCCAGCTTCTCCTCCGCCATCTTCCCAGAACCCCCCCCCCCATCCCCTTAGCTTCTTTTGCTCAAGGTTAGCACTCTACCACTTGAGCCACAGCACCACTTCTGGCCTTTTCTGTGTATGTGGTACTGAGAACTCCAACCTAGTGCTTCATGCATGTGAGGCAAGCACTCTACCACTAAACTACCTTCCCAGCCCTATCTTCTTAATCTTCTAGGGAGCACTAAGCACAGCACTTTATCCAGGCTGGTGATCTCAATTTGGACTATGTGACTGATTTCAGAACTTCAATGAAGTTTAGTTCACCTAGCCAGATGTGGTAGCACATGACTACAATCCTAGTCCTCTGGAGGCTGAGGCAGGAGGATTGTGAGTTGGAGGCCACATGGTAAGTTAGAGGTCAGCCTCAAATACACAGCAAGATTCCATCTCAAAGAACAAAATACATTTCACATGGCATAGATTTTACCCATGTTAAGTAAACAATTCAGTGTTTTTTTTTCCCTCCTTGGTGGTGCTAGGATTGAACACAGGATCTTGAGCTATTCCACCCCAGCCCCATTTGCTTTTTTTTTTAAATTAGTTTCTTACATCTATGCACCAGTGGGCCTGGGTCCCATCCTCATATTTACACTTCTTGCTTAGTTGAAATGAGAGGTGCATGCTACCACAGCCAGCTTTCCTTGGTTGAGTTTGGAGACGTCAGGAACTCTGCCCAGGTCAGCCTTCAAACCTCAATCCTCACAATCTCTGTCTATAAGGAGCCTAGGATCACAGACCTGAGCCACGATGCCTTGTGCCACGGTGCTAGTGACTTTGTGGCGTGGCATCACAACTGCCACAGATCATTTTAGGAATTGTTTTACCAGTTGGTACATTCTAGCTGTAATCCCAGCTACTCAGGAGGCTGAGATCTGAGGATCATGGTTCAAAGTCAGCCTGGGCAAAAAAAAAAAAAAAAATGTCCATGAGACCCTGATCTCCAATGAAATATCCAAAAAGCTGGAAGTGGTGCTGTGTGGTTCAAGAGGTAGAGTGCTGGTCTTGAGCACAAAAGCTCAGGGATAGCTCCCAGGCCCTGAATTCAAGTCCCAAGACGGACACAAACAACAACAACAACAACAAAGAATGGTTTACCACTGCCATAAGATTTCTTATGCCCCTTCACAGTTCATCTCTGCTCTCCATTCCCAGCTCTGCTCCTGGCCAACCACGAATCCACTCTCTGTCCTGATAGATTTGACTTTCCTGTATATTCCCTGTGCACAGGCCCACATAGCTGTGCTCCATGCGTGCCTATGAGCTATTCGTGATGGGACGGCACTTCATGGCAGTTTAGTTCCTTCTTTAGCCTCTCAGTGGCCTCCGTGAAGCAAATTCAAATTCTCTATTGGAACAAAGCCCACAGAACCCTGTGCAATCTGTCACTCTTGAGCTCCTGTCTGCCTCTTGAGCCTCTCATTTGCATCCTCCTCTCTGCAGCCTCTTTGGCCTACTTTCTGTTTCTACAACATGAAGCCTTTCCTGCCCCTGGGTCTTTGCTCCTGCTTGCTAAGCCCTGGACTGAGAGAGGTGAGTGTTCCCCAGGCCCCAAAAGCAGAGTCTCTGGCCTCAACTTGACAGTGATCTCCTCCCCACATTGCCTCTTTTCCCCTTTCTGCTTATGTCTGTCCTCACTCATGTTAGAAGCAGAATTATTCTTGTTACTTACTGATTGCCTGCCTTCTCCCAGTGTTACTCCACAGTGACAGCTTTTCCTCACCTGATACTCTAAACACAGCGTAGCAACACAGACGCCTTTGATACACACTAGCTGAATAAATGATACCTATATACAAACACCTTTCAAGTGCTGAGGAATCCAACTTAATTGCATTTTTAACTATGTTAAGCTTGCATCTAAACATTCATTTCGAAGTTAATTTTCTAATAAAAACTAATAGCCTTCCTTGGCCTAGTTAGTTTCACATTAATGATTTTTACAAGACTCTTTCCCACTTGTAAGCATGATGTGGTAAAAATACAATCTAGGAAAACTTATTTCCCTGGTATCTGTTATTTAAAAAAAAAAACTAGATACAAAAGATTAAGCTATTTCTTGCATGAGTTTGTTTGAATGTGTGTGTGTATACTGGTTCTGGGACTTGAACTCAAGGCCTTGTGCTCTTGCTTGGCTTTTTTTTGTTCAAGGCTAATGCTCTACCATTTGAGCCTTAGCTCCAATTCAGGTTTTTTGCTGGTTCATTGGAGATAAAAGTCTCACAGACTTTTCTGCCCTAGTTGGCTTTGGACTGTGATCCTCAGATCTCAGCTTCCTGAGTAACTGGGATTATAAAGCAGGAGACACCAACCCTTGGCTTATGCTAATAATAAAAAATGGGTTTATAATTCCTTTACAAAATACTTATATCCATAAGTAAGCTTTTCATTGAATTGGAAAAAGAACTATAGAGATATTACCACCAGTCAGGTATATGCCAAGATATCTGCCAACTATCTCTATGAGGGGTTAACTCTGAATTGGAGGTCTCTGCCCATGCCATTAGACAAGAAGAAGCAATTTGAGAATGAAGAATTAGAAAAGCAGAAGCAAAACTACTTACATTTGTGGATGACATGACAATAGCTTGCAGAGGCCAGGAGGGTCCATGATAAAACTAAAAACATGACGTAATACGGTGACCAAGTAGGGCATAAAATTAACCCACGGAAGTCAATAGCTGTATCTACCACAAGCATGACTTGTTAGAAGGAACAATGAAGGCCAAACTTAAAATAGCAACAACAATGATGAAGTATTTGGGGGACTAATTTTTTAAATGTCCAAAGGCTACATGAGAAAAACCTTTAAAACTTTCCTGAAGATGTGACAGTTCACAGACAGGGAAGACATCGCTGAGAGGTAATCTACCCTTCATTTATATAAGTTTAATGCCATTCCAAGAAAAATGACAGCAAAGTTTCGTTTTCCAGAGCTAGAAGAGCTGATGCTAAACTTTGTAAATATTATTATATTTTGAAAACTAAAGCAAACGAGAATAGCTAGAAAAGCCAGAAGAAGAAGAAAAGACAGCAAAGGGAAAGCAAGCCCTCATAGACATTAAAGCATACTACGAAACTTCTACAATTAAAACTGTGTGGTGTTGGCACAGAAATAGACTTTAGAAGAACAGGAAGTCTTGAAATAGAGGGAAGTATATATGGAAAGCAAGCATAAGATGATACGTGTGGAATAACGTCCTAGACTTCAGACCATGGCCCAAGTGTAAGTCGGAGTATTCTGGGGCAGTTATCAGATTCCCTCCGTCCAGACTGCCCTCTTTAGCATCCCACCAGCAAACACGCTCTGTCCAACCCCAATCCCACCCAGAGTGGCCCTGCTTTTTACTGTTTCATACTTACCCGTTTGCCATAAGTGCAGCTTTAGCTTGCATTCTTTTGTGTAGCTTTATACAAACCTATACATACATACTACATGCATACATGCATAATACATGCATACGTACATATTCACAGTACTTGGGTTTGAACTCAGGGCCTTGACAGAGCCAGTCTGTCAATAGTAAGGGTCCTTTCTAAAGCTGACAGCCACTGTCCCCAAAAAGGTGAGCGGGGCCAGGCTCAAGAAACTTTTCAGGGTTCAGACAACACCTATGCCAAAATTGTAGACGGGGCTGAATTATCAAGAAACTGATGTTGGCTAGCGAGAAAGTGTTCGTTGTTTTTTTTTTTTTAATGAAATACTAACCAATGTAGATAAAATGCTAGAAAATCACTACTTTACAATATCCACAGTAGTAACTGAAGGGAGACATGTCACCATTGGGCAGATCTTGTGGCTGACTATGAACCCTGCAAGGAAATCTCTCAGAATGGCGACCCTGGCAAAGCTGAGGATCCCTAAGTGAGCATACAAAACGCCATCACCCACAACGCAGCCAACGCCGTGCTCATGTCTGTGGAGGATGGGTAGAAGAGAATGGGGTGCTCCTGCCAGATTCTAATCATTAGGGAAACAACAACAACAAAACCACTTTGGTGTAACAACTGGAACTTGGCTCCAAAAATATCCCTCGTAGCCGGGCGCCGGTGGCTCAGGCCTGTCATCCTAGCTCCTCAGGAGGCTGAGATCTGAGGATCACAGTTCAAAGCCACCTTGAGCAGCAAAGTCCACGAGACTCTTTTTTTATTATTATTGTGGGGAAAAAAAACTGTACAGAGGGGTTACAATTACATGGGCAAGATAATGAGTACATTTCTTATCAAGCATTGTAGCCTCCTCCTTTGTTTCCCCTTCCCATCCCTTCCAAGCCTCCCCTGCCCCCCCCACTCAATCCTTCCCCCCCCCATGAGACTCTTATCTCCAATTAACTAGCAATAAATAAAGCCAAAAACGGAGCTGTTTCTCAAGTGGTACAGCACTAGCCTACCACTAGCTCAGGAATGGCACCTAGGACCTAAATTTAAGACCTGGACTGGTACCAGAAAAAGAAAAAGAAAAGGAATGAAAAATAAGTCAACTGGATGCAGTTACCCAAATCTTTGATTTGGATGCTTGAGCAAGAGAGAAAGCCTAATTATTTTTCCCAGTTCTGGGGGCTTGACCTCTGGGCCTGGGAGCTGTCCCTGAGCTCCTTTTACTCCAGGACAGTGCTCTACCTTGAGCCACAGTGCCACTTCCAGCTCTGAGTATTTTATTGGAGATAAGTCTCATGAACTTTTCTGCCTAGGAAGGCTTAGGACCGCTATCCTCAGATCTCAGCCTCCTGAGTAGCTAGAATTGCAGGCATGAGCCACCAGCACCTGGTTGCAAAGCCCCATTATCAAGTCGCTGTATATGGACTCTCTATCAGACAATAATACTGCATTGGTATTAAACATCTTGAGTTCCCCAATTATGTTGTGGACATGTAAAAGAATGTCCTACTTGTTAGAAAACAGATTATTAGGTGTTAAAGGGCAGAGGGGGAGGAGGGGGAGGAAGAAGAAGAAAAAAACACTAAATGGCTGCTAAAAAACACACCACAATTTTTTTAAAATTTGAAACAAGAGACTTCCAAGAGACATTTAGATTGACAATGGCCACTTTGAGCAATGTTCCTAGACTCTTTTGGAATAAAAATCTACCAAGCTCAGGGTTATTTCAACATAAAGGGGAGGGGGGTCTTACCAAGCAGTCCTTAGTTTTTAAATATTTATTATTATTATCTTTGAGTAGTTGTACAAAGAAGTTCCCATTCTATGAAACAGTATATGAATACAAGGTGTCTGACAACAGTGTCACCCATCAACCTAGCAGTCTTTAAACACAGGATGCAGACCATTCGGGCTGGCGGGCTGGTTACCTGAATGGGTTGAGTGCAGGTCAAGGTCAAGGCTTAGAGCAGCTCTGCACCCCCCCCCCCGCAAAGCAGGGAATACAGAACCACATGGTCCTTCTAGAGGGATCAATCATGTGACTGTCTCCAGTCCAAAGGATGGACAAATGATCCAAGCCAGCTCCCATTCCCAGGTCCCCACCCACAGAAGGGTATCTGCCCTCAGCTGGACCAATCCAGTTCCTACTCTGATCGGTTATTAGAGAATGCCAGGAGATATTTCATTTATTTCTGAATGTTTTCACTCTCCCCTGACCCCTGAGACCCTTTGGGAAGGATGACGTAATCCTGGCCCTGTCCACAACCAGAAGCAAGGGAGTCCGGCTCCTTCCAGCCCACAGCTGCTTCGTTCCTCGCGGCGAACTTCAGGCCCAATGAGAAGCAGTGAGCTTTTTTACTTCTGAGACTCTGGAGTTGCCGCAGCTGCCTAGGACTGGTTCCTTTAGGTGACCTTCTGGCTCCTGGGTCCCCTGGCTCTAAATGACCTTATGCCAACAACTGAGCTCTTGGTGACAAGATCACATGGTGCAAATGCACATGCACGCGCTCCTCAGCCTAATGTCTTCTTTGCTCAAGGCCATACCCTCTCGGTCATTCATTCTTCCCATGATCGTGGAAGGTGAGCTGTGCACTAGACCTTGAGCAAAGTTACAGGATCACAGACGGCTGAAACATGGAACTACCTGTCTCAAATCCCACCTCCAACCCACACAGAGTCAAAAACACAGCTCCCTGGGTGCCAGCACCAGAGATGGCTGTTGAGAGAATATGCCCACATTACAAATCCCGGGATATTTGCTCTGGTTTAAAGACCAGGGCACGCCAAGGTGGACGGGGTGTGATGAGATTCATGGGAATGATGAGGTCATCTCATTGAACTCTGCAGTAGAAGCCAGAACTGGACAGAGAGGATGCTGGGAGAGATCACAGGGGCAGAGAGAACTGACAATCCTGGTGGGGGCCCTGGGTCTCGCTGATGGTTGCTCCCACACTTTTCCCTCCAGGTCAGGCAAACCTGCTTTGGGTCTCGAAACGACACCTCCTATCCAGGCACCGATGACTCATGTCTGTAATGCTAGCTACTCAGGAGGCTGAGATCTGAGGATCCTGGTTTGAAACCAGCCTGAGCAGGGAAGTCCAAGAAACTCTTATTTCCAATTAACCAGCAAGAAGCTGGAGTGGTAGAGTACCAGCCTTGAGCAAAAACACTAAGAGACAGTGCCTAGGCCCTGAGTTCAAGCCCTAGTACCAACGCACACACATCAACATCATCATCATCATCAACTACACCTTCTGAGGAAGTCAGGACTCTACCTGACTGCATGGTGGGCTCACCTGGGGAATAGGGGAAATTGGGGAAATCTCTAGGGAGGTGCTGTCGTGTGTTCTGCAGGGCCTCAGACAAGTGGGAACACTGTGCTGTGTGGGGTGGTAAGTGTACGGTACGGGTGTACATTGTGTATGAGGAGGGGTATAGAGGAGTGTGTTGTGGTGTGTCTGCGTTATCTCACCAAGGGCTCTTATAAAAGCTCACATGGGGCTGGAAATGTGGCTCAGTGGTAGAGTGCTTGCCTAGCATGCATGAAGCCCTGGGTTCAATTCCTCAGTACCACAAAAATGGAAAAGGCTGGAAATGGCGTTGGCTCAAGTGTAGGGTGCTAACCTTGAGCAAAAGAAGTTCAGGGACCAGTGCTCAGGCCCTGATTTCAAGCCCCAAGACAGGCAAAAAAAGAAAGGAAGGAAGGAAGCAAGCAAGCAAGCAAGTAAGCCTTTGGTTAAACCAGAGTGTGCTGTTTATGACAATTTGCTGCATAAAACATACTGTGGCTCATGCCTGTAATCCTAGCTACTCAGGAGGCTGAGAGCTGAGGATCCCATTCAAAGCCAGCCCAGGCAGGAAAGTCCAATAAACCACCAGAAACCCAGAAGTGGCGCTGTGGCTCAAGTGGTAGAGCACTAGCCTTGAGCTGAAGAGCTGAGGGACAGCACCCAGGCCCAGAGTTCAGGCCCCACAACAACAACAACAACAACAACAAATACTGTGGAAGCTGGGCACCCATGGCTCACACCTGTAATCCAATCCTAGCTTCTCAGGAGACTGAGATCTAAGGATCGCATGTCAAAGCCAATCCAGGCAGGAAAGTCCATGAAACTCTTATCTCTAATAAACTAATTAGAAAAAACTGGAAATAGAGCTGTGGCTCAAGCAGTACAACACTAGCCTTGAGCAAAAAGAAGCTCAGGGACAGCACCCAGACCCTGAAATGGCAAAAACAAACAAAAAACAAACCCCACAGTGTACTGTAGTCATCATAACCAGTTTACTGACTTCTTGTTACATGTCAGGGAAACATAATTGCTGTCCTCTCTCCTTTCCCTCACTTAAGATTGAACCCGGGGCCTTGGGATCCATAAACTTGAACCACATCCCTGGCTTTTTTTTCTGGTAGTGCCTAGGTTCAAACCCAGGGCTTTGTACATACTAGGTAATCATTCAACCACTCAGCTACAACTCTAGACCTTTCAGGGTGTTTTTAAAACTGTTTTTGCATGTAATCATGAGTCTTATAACCATATATGTCTTAAGTTTCAAGATTTTTCTTCTCAAATATTGATTTAACAAATATTTATTATGTATCTATTATGTACATAGTCTCTCTACCAGCTGTTATAGAAAAAGTTGGAAAAAAAAAGATCATAAATATTTCTTCTCCCTATGGAGCAACTAATTTGGTTTGGAGTATAATAATCAAAGGATAATTTTGGTGAGCTTCTTTCCTTATTTGTATGACTCATAAAATTACATTTGGGCTGGGTACTGGTGGCTCATGCCTGTAATCCTAGCTACTTAGGAGGCTGAGATCTGAGGATCCTGGTTCAAAGCCAACCTGGGCAGAAATGTCCATGAGCTTCTTATCTCCAATTAACCACCAAAAAAGCTGGAAGTGGAGATGTGGCTCAAGTGGTACAGCACTAGCCTTGAGCACAAAAACTCAGGTCCTGAGTTCAAGTCCCAGGACTAGCAGGAGTTATGTTTATGCAAGTCCCTTCCCTCTCTTTAGTCCCTTAGAAGTAAGAGATTCGATTCGCTTGTATTCCTTACACAGTGTCTGCCCTGTGTTGGCTGAACCCATAAACTGACAAACTAGAGATTCAAGGGTATGAACAACATTCAAATCCTTCCCTTATTCAGATGCTGAGGGCCTAGGACAACCTGTGAATGCAATTCTCACCCCCAGAAAACACCTATTGGCTATAATGTAGATCTGAAATGTTCATCAAAGGTCCAAGGCCTGGCCATTAGCCTGGGCCACTTCTGGGAAGGGGTGGAATCTTTAGAAGGTGTGGTCATGTGGGGTGGGTCTTTGAAGAAAATATTGAGACCTGACTCTTCCTATCTTTTTGCTTCCAGCCCACCATGAAGTGAGCAGCCTCCCCGCACCCCCCCCCACGCTCCCGCTGGGACATGCTTCTATCTCACCACAGGCCCCACACACAAGGACTGACAGGAGGGGCCCAGCCTCTGATTCATGAACCACAACGAACCTTTCCTTCTTTTAAACCGATTCTCTCAGGTGTTTTGTCACCATCCTACAAAGCTGATACTTCAACCAAGGAAAGTTCAAAGTGAGTATATGCCACACATTCTGACATAGCTGTTAGGTGTTCAGTTTCCCTTATTCTTGAAAACCAGAGACAGGCAGGTACCAGTGCCTCACTCCTATAATCCTAGCTCCTAATTCTGCCTCCTATGGGTAGAGGTTCAAAACCAACCTAGGAAGACAGATCCAAGGGATTGTTTTTGTTTTGTCAATCGTGGGGCTTGAATTCTGGGTCTGGGTGCTGTCCCTCAGCTCTTCAGCTCAAGGCTAGCGCTCTACCACTTGAGCCACAGTGCCACTTCCAGTTTTCTGGTGGTTTATTGGAGATAAGAGTCTCATGGACTTTCGTGCCCAGACTGGCTTTGAACTTCGATCTTCAGATCTCAGCCTCCTGAGTAGCTAGGATGACAGGTGTGAGTCACCAGCCTGGACTCCAAGAGATTCTTATCTCCAACTAACCTGTAAAAAGCTGGAAGGAGAGGTGTAGGTCAAGGGAGAGAAGGGGAGGGAGGGACAGACAGGGAGAGACAGACAGAGTAGGAAGGAAGAGAGGGGGGAAGGGGAAGGGGAAGGGGAAAGAGAAGGTAAGGTAAAGGACTACTAGAAATCCTACAGTGGTGCCCCAATGACTAGGAAAGGATCCAGCATCCCAGGAATTGGATGAAGAATGTCCAAAGAATCACAGAACCAGCAAGAAGGTCCCTGACTTTTTTAGGGACCCCAGTGGGGTGTACTGCTTGTTTACTCTTATCTCTATCTGCCAGTCTCCTCATTAATGTACACACACACAACACACACACACACACACACACACACACACACTCCAACTTAAAGTCCTGTGTGAGCTCAGAGCTAATGACTAAAGCCGGGTGGGGCAAAAGGCCTGAGAACAAACTGTTTGTTCAGGAAGTGTTTAACATTCTGCAAGCTCGCTCCTTCCCTCCCCCACTTCCCTCCTTCCCATTTCTTTCCATCCATGAGAAGAATCATGTTAGAGTGGCTGGCATATGCTCAGGACACTCAATAATACACCCTGGGGTTCAAGGTCACCTGAACTCTTGGCTTACCTCTCCTTCCTTCCTTCTTTCCTTTCCTCCCTCCTTCCTCTTTCTTGTCTTTTGGTGTCAGTCGTGGGGCTTGAACTCAAGGCCTGGGTGCTGTCTCTGAGCTTTTCCCACACAAAACTAGTATTCTATCACTTGGAGCCATCACACCACTTCTGGTTTTCTGGTGGTTTATTGGAGATTAGCGTCTCACAGACTTTCCTGCCCAGTCTGACTTTGAACCACAATCCTTAGATCTCAGCCTCCTGAGTAGCTAGGATTACAGGCGAGAGCCACCAGCACCTGACTTCTCCTTTCTTTAAGTGAAAATACTTCAGGGTAAACCCAATCTAAATAAAGGTAAACTATATGGTTTTTAAATCTGGCATGATAGCAGACCATTACGATGGCGGGCTGGACTCTGGTACAAAGTTTCATTTGTTTGGTCATTCATCTAATTGGACTCTATACCAAGCAAGTGATAGAAAAAGTTGTATATTTATAATATCAGTCATGAAAGAATGAAGAAGCACAAAATGGCGCATTTCCAGAATTAAAATTGCTACTGTCTCCACTACCTCCTTACTCACTCCTTGGGAAATCTCTCCATATCCTGAGAATCAATACCCACACCTTAACACCCCTGGTGAAAAGAATCCTGTGCTTCTGCGGACTCGGTGAATCCTTGTGCTTCTGCGGACTTGGTGGGACTCTTGGGAGAACAGAAGCCATGTGTGCTCTCCCCAGGAGACGCTTGCTTTGTCTTGCTCTCTCAAATGTCCAGGTATTTCTTCTCTTTTCAGAATCTGCCTTTTACCACATCAGATCCTTGTGAGACACAGCACATTTCCCCTGGATGACTAAACATTTCAGCTAGCACTGAAGGTGTTTGTAATACATTACATGATAACTACAACAACCAAATGGGGCTTCACACAATGACCCACGTCCTGGAGCATCTTTACCACATGTTCCTGAGCAGGTGGCTCACGCCTGTTATCCTTAGTTACTCAGGAGGCTGAGATCTGAGAGTTGAGCTTCAAAGCCAGCCTGAGTGGGAAAGTCCGTGAGATGCTTATCTCTAATTAACTAGCAAAAAGCCGGAAGTGGAGGTGTGACTCAAGCGACCAAGTGCTGGCCTTGATCAAAAAAGGTAAAAGACAGCACCTAGGCCCTGAATTCAAACTCCAGTACCAGTGCGCATGTGCACGTGCGCGCACACACACACACACACACACACACACACACTGTCTTACCTCCACACTGCAGAGCTGAGAGTCTGAAGCCTTCATTTTCTACCCTGCTCCTGAATTTGACATATGCATGCTTTCCAAGAATTCTGTTGCGTGGAAGCAGAGAGAACGCGGGGTTCTTTCTGGGGGAGAAGGACCTTGCATTCTACTATTAAATAGCTGGGGACAGGCGGGGGGGGGGGGGCTGTGCGTGAGCACGCTGATCCTGGAGCTTGAACTCGGGCCTGGACCTTGTCGCTAAGCTTTTGTGCTCAAGGTCAGTGTTGTACCACATTGAGGCACAGTGTCATCTCTGGCTTTTTGTTAGTTAATTGGAGATAAAGAGTCTCACGGACTTTCCTGCCCAGGCTGGGTTTGAGCCATTTTTAAATTGATCATGCTATTCAGTGTAATCCTAGCTATTCAGGAGCTGAGATCTGAGAATCAGAGTTCAAAGCCAACCTGGGTGAAAGTTTATGATGCTCTTATCTCCAATTAGCCAGCAAAAAAGTCAGAAGTAGAACTACAATCAAGTGTTAGAGTGCAAGCCTTAGAGGTTAAAAAAAAAAAAAGTCAAGTAAGACCTTGAGACCATGAGTTCAAGTCCCAGTACCACTACAGAAGAAAAAGAGATGCCGAAGCTTTCCAGAGCCAGGTGAGTATAAAATGAGAAAGCCCCCATAAGTGACCAAGAGTCAAGTATCAAAGGCTAGGGGTGGAACTTGCATACAATTTTACCACACTTACAAGTAACTAAAGAAAGGGGAGGGGGAAAAAAAGTACATTTACCCAGAACAGTAGTTCAGTGCTACAGTTCAGGATCTCAGAGACCACAGTAGGGAAGGGCACCCCCTGGAATTGAGCAATACACAACCGTACAGCCCTGCCAGGCTGGGATCTTATTCCAGATGTAATGCCACACTGTAGGTTATTTAACTGGAGCCTGTTTTCTAAAGGAGTATGTTGTGTATGTACCCCTAGGACCTAGTTCAAGGGCCAGCTTATAGTGGTTCTCAATAAATACATAGATCAAATATATAGGTTATGGTGAATACACACAATATCTATACCCTGAAATGGAGGGACAAAGGGTGCACAAATACAGCAGTGCTACTCACTGGACAGTATGTTCGAAGCGAACTATACAACTTGTGAGGGGGGATGGGAGGGGAAAAACTGGGCAAGAGGAAAGTGGTGATGTTGTCCAAAAAGAAATGTCCTCTACCTGACTGATGTAACGGTAACCCACCTGTACATCACCTTTATAATAACGGTTTTAAGAGAAAAAAATAGCTGTAAATGAGAACAGCTTGTACCAGGTGCTGGTGGCTCACACCTGTAATCGTAGCTACTCAGGAGGCTGAGATCTGAGGGCCTCGGTTCATGCAGAAACATGCATGAGAATTTCAGCTAAAAAAAAAAACTGGAAGTGGAGGTGTGGCTCAAGTGGTAGAGTGCCAGCCATGAGTGGAAAAACCAAAGTGAGAAGTCCAAGGCCCTGAGTTCAAGCCCCAGTATCAGCACAAAAACAAATTAATTATGTAATTCATTAAAGAAAAGATGGTGGCCTGAAATAGTAAGATTGTGTTAGTATTGTTCAGGATGGAAAAATATACTAGAAGGAATTCTTTTGTCAGTTGTGGGGCTTGAACTCAAGGCTTGGGCCGGTCTCTGAGCTCTTTTGCTCAAGGTTAGCACTCTACCACTTGAGCCACAGCTCGATTTCCTTTTTTTTTTGGTCAGTTGTGGGGCTTGAACTCTGGGCTTGGGCGCTGTCCCTCAGCTCTTCAGGTCAAGGCTAGTGCTCTACTGCTTGAGCCACAGCACCACTTGCAGTTTTCTAGTAGTTTATTGGAGATAAGAGTCTCAGGGTCTTTCCTGCCCGGGCTGGCTTTTAACTGGGATCCTCAGATCTCAGCCTCCTGAGTAGCTAGGATGACAGGCGTGAGCCACCGGCACCTGGCTTCAACTTCCATTTTTTGATTGGTAATATCACAGGGATTTTTCTGCCTGGCTTCTAACCTTCTAACTGCAATCCTCAGATCTCAGCCTGCCTCCCCACCCCCACCCCACACACCAGTAGCTGGGGCTACAGATGTAAGCCACCGGCACCCAGCGAGAACATTATTTTAAAGCAATTTTTTCAGATAACAGTAAACTATAGAGAAGAGACATTTTAAAAAGAGAAAACAGCCAAAAACTGGTGGCTCATGCCTGTATTCGTGGCTACTTGGGAGGCTGAGATCTGAAGATGGTGGTTTGAAACCAGCTTGAGCAGGAAAGTCTGTGAAACTCTTATCTCCAATTAATCACAGAAAAAGCCAATTCCAGCTATAGCTGAAGTGGGAGAGTGCTAGCCCTGAATTCAAGGATAATGCCCAGCCCAGAGTACAAGCCCTGGGACTGGCAAAAAGGAAAAGAAAAAAAAAAAAAAAAAGAAGAGGAGGAAGGAGAGGGAGAAGGGGAGGTAGGGGAGGAAGAGGGGGAGGGGAAGGAGGAGGAGGAGCAGAAGAAGAGGAGGAGGAGGAGGAAGAAATGTAGCTGTAGTCACTGGTGACTCATACCTGTAATCCTATCTACTTGTGAGGCTGAGATCTAGGGATCACAGTTCAAAGCCAGCAGGAACTTCCTTGAGATTTTTAATTTCCAATGAACCACCCAAAAGTTTGAAGTTGGAGCTGTGGCTCATGGGGTAGAGCACTAGCCTTACACATAAAAGCTCAGGGCAAGGGCCTAGGCCTGGAATTCAAACCCCAGGATGAAGGAAGAGGAGGATGAAGAGAAAGAAGCAGGAGAAGAATAAATAATTCACCTATGATGAGTAGAAATGATTTCTGAAACTCTATTTGGAAAAAAACCAAAAGCAGGTAGGAAGAAGCACCAGCCTGTAATCCCAGCAACGGGGAGTCGGTGACAGGAGGATGTGGAGTTCAGAGGTCAGGGGAAGGTACATAATAAGACCTTATCAAAAAGAAGGGGGGATTGGTGGGGGTTTGTTGTTGTTGTTTTGCTATTTAAACCACTGCAGGGCATGTACAGGCAAACCTCAAAGACTGATAAAGGAATTTGAAGAATGCTGTGGTCCTGAGCCAGGAGCCAAGGCTGGGGAGATGCTAGGGTTCACTGCTGACAGGGCCGGGCCGTGGACCTCTAATCCTGTCTCTCCCGGAGCTGGAGCTCGTCTCCCCTGGGGTTCTGACAGAGTCAGGAAGAGGCCTGGCCCTGGAGCAGGGCGAGAGGAAGGTGAGGTGCAATCATCCATTCCCTGCAACCCCCCCTCCCTTGCCCTCCCCACCGCGAGGGAGGGAGGGCGGGCGGGCTAGGCCCTGGGGAGGTCACGCGGGGCGCGCGCACGGCTCGGGGCAGGATGCATTTCTCACACTTGCTAATGGGTCTGACGCGGGTGGAAACGTCCACAGGAAGGAAACCGGAGCTCTCCAAAGCCATGCGAAGGAAGTGCACTCCGAGTCCGGTCAAGCGTGTGAACCCCCAAGCCCTCCAGATCGGCCTGCACGGGGTAGAATCAGATCCATCCCCCCCACCCCGTGCTGGCTGGCGGTGACCCCATTCTCTCTCTCGCCTTTCCCACAGCCAAGTCACCCGCAGCCGGGGATGGCTGACCCCAGCGCAGAGGGAGGGGGTGGGGGGAGAAGGATGACAGTCATCTCTCGACTCCCAGACCTCGCCGCGCCGGGGCGCGCAGGGGTCAGTGAAATCCCCAGCCAGGCCTCATTTGAGTCACGAATTTCCACCGGGCGCCCTCCTCCTCCGCGCCCCGCGGCCCCTTCCCCTGATCCACAACCGGACAAGCCACCGAACCCCGATTGTTCCGGGAGAGGAAGCCCCCCCCACCCTCCCTCCCCGTCCGGACCTAACTGAGGTCGCCGAGCACCCCCAGGACCTCTTTCTTTCTGCCCCAGGCTCAGGCCACCGAGCCCCGGCCTCCCCTCACCCCCACCTGAGCATCCTAGTTAGTATTAAATTAAAAACCAGCCACGGTGGTGGGTGGGGGGTCCCCTCCCCGGATAGGGGCCGGGTTGCGTCCACCCCCAACCTGGCCAGGGGGTCGCCAAGTTCCAGACCGCATACGTGGGATGCGCCGGCGTGCCCAGCACCGGGTACAGAAATGCAGGCCGAATGAGCGAACGCATTCCCTGAGCCGGGGCAGCGGTGTCACCAAGATCGCTATTGTTGTTGTTATTATTATGGGGTTCTCCCTCCCCTGGGCTCCTACCCAGGTTGCGGATAAATGGCGCTGCGCAGTTCCGAGTACCCGCGATCGCCCCCCCCCCGCCCCTGCGGACACGGCTCCGCCGCCCGGTTCCAGGCCCCGGGTGCTGCGGCCCCAGGCCGGGCCACGTGGAGCGTCACGCCCCGCACTGCTGCAGGCCCGGCGCGGCGGCTGCGGTTGTGTAACGCCGCAGCCCGCGGGGAGGCGACCCGGACCGGGAAGGGAGGGAGGGAGGACGGGCGGGCGCGGTGCCCGCTGGCCGGGGAGGGAGGTGAGGGTCACGGGGAGAGGGTGAGACTGCGCCGGCGGCGGAT